AATAATAATCCTTGCATTTGATTATAGCACCTTATCACATCATCGAGATGTCTTAAAGTGCTTCATGGGATATGTTGAAAAGTACTGTGTCACAGTACTGTATTTTGTGGGTGAATGCAGCAGCCAATTTGCATACAGCAATGTCCCATAAACAGCCATGGAGCAAATTACCAATTTTATTTGGGGCATTGTTGGCCAAGACATCAGAGGCTCCCTTCTGTTTTCAAATAGTATCATGGGATCTTTAACATCAATCTGACCAGGCAAACGGGATCTCAGTTTAACGTCTTATTGAAAGGACACACATGTACACATGCACAAGGATATACATGTTACATGTACAACAGATGTGAACCAAAATACATATGCAATTGTTGAACACGCACACACACAAATGTGAAGTATAAACTACGATTAGACAAACAATTGTGGAGTGTATGGCATACTCTGTTTCTTTCAGAGTAACTTGAAGAACAAATCGATTCTGTAGAGTCAATAACATTTATGCCATTAATAAATATATATAGAAAAATAATGAATAAGAAATATGTGTTTTGGTGTTCTTGCTTTGAGGAATATTGTATAACAAAGCAAGATTTAGCATCTTGGGATCCTGGGATTTGGGGCATTAAAAAAAAAATGCATTGAAAGAAAATGCATTTTCAAATGATAAATTTGACAAAGACACAATGAGTAGCCATTATCAAATTTAAGACTCGGGCTGGAGCACTACAATTGACGTCAGCACATTCCTGGTTTTGCAAAGAGAAAATTAGCCAGGAATATTGTTCCAAATCATGATTCAGCAACCACTGGAAGTGCACTTGTGTGGAGGTCAGAGAAGGACAGGATAAAGCCTGAACCTTCTTCTACAGCTTTACTGTCCTATTCTCTGGAGCAACTTCTAGGTCCTCTTACTTGTTGTTGGGACTGATGATATGGGTACAACAGTCCACAGCAATTGATTTGTTTTCAAAAAATGTTGTCCCCTCCCTACCTCCCACCACCCGAATTTAGCCTCATGTTTCAGAAGAATTATTTTTGTCTTAAGAACGTAAGAAATGCTACACGAAAAAAGACCAAGGTCCATCTAATTCGCCTTCCTGGCGGTCGCATGCACATATGTTCCAAACTACCTATGCACTATATTCCATATTGTTATTTCCTAAAAGAAAACTATCTAATCTGTGTTTGAAAGAATCAACGCTCCCTAGGGAGCCAGTTCTACAGGTTCACTATTTGCTCACTGAAATAGTGTTTGCGCAGATTCGTTCTGAATTTACCCCCCTTCAATCACAGACCGTGTCCTCTGGTTTTACTATTCTAGACAAGTTGAAGCAGCCTGTGATGATCTATATTGTCTTGCTCCTTTAGAATCTTAAAGAGAGCAATCTTGTCATCTCTCAATCTTCTCTTTTCCAGCATGAACATATCCAATTTACTTAGTCGCTCCTCATAGTCCAGTCCAACCAGCTTCAATTTATTATGTATATAGACCTGGGGTCTATCAGGACCCCAGGTCCTTTTCATTTTCCATACATATAGTTCTCTGCATCACACATTCCTCCAAAATCGACATAACTAATCTTTCAATGGCTATGAACTGTCGATACTTTGACCTTGGTTTGACTAAATTGACTAAACCAAAATATTCAGTCTCAGTATAATACGCTGATTACCCAGAGGGTTATTAATGATTGGAACAGACTGCAGAAAGGGTGATGGAGGGCAGGACACTAAACTCATTTGAAAAACAGCTTGACGGTAGAGTTAGTATTCAGGAAGGATAAAATCAAATGGGCCAAAGGGGCTTTTTCATCCAAACCAATCTTATGTGATATACTCCACACCTCACTGTAAATTATCTTGTATGCTCTTCACTGGTATGAATGCACTTTAATATCTTAAATATCTTAAAATGCATTCATTTCCATAGGACAAGTGACATTTTCAGTTGATTTATTTCAGTTAACTTCATAGTAAACAAATTAAATACTGTGAGTAGTCAGTAACACCATGATTCCTTTATGAAGCAGAATGAACTTCATTACAATTGGCTTCAGCATTCCGAGGCTAGTGAGGGGAAATACTGATCCAGGAGAAAATATCATCCCCCAGGTAATGGAAATGGAGGAAAGGTAAGTTGTCCACTCTTGATTGTACGCTAGAAATACAAAATAGTGTGGATTACTACAAATTTGTGGAGATGAATGGAGGCTGGATTGAATTCAGTTGAGATGTCCTCCAAGTTGATCGCTCACATTCAGAGATACAGATTCAGGTATGAGAATTTAGGCATAAATCTTGGGCAAGGAGGGGAAGGAATAACATTGGAAGGGAAAGAAAGAAGCTAAATGAAAATAACTCAATGTTTGTAGCTCAGCAGCAGTAAAGCCTGGTTAATGCCAAGTTAGCACCAATAGTGATTTTATATTGACATTGATTAATAAAGTTACATGTATTTTGCCTTCCTTCCCAATGGTGAAAAGGCTGTGTTGCAATCTCAAGAAAACGCAGTTCAGCAGCAGTGGTTTTTCACAAATCTTGCTGGTTGTTCATTAGAAAGTATGCAGTAAATAGGATTCCTTTATCATTATACGTGTATGTGTATGAGAGGTGTGTGTGTGTATGTCTGTGTATGTGTCTGTGTATGTGTCTAGCATGTGCAGGTGTATATGTCTGTGTATGTGTGTATGTGTAGGTATATGATGAAGATGCAACATATGCATGGTTGTGTGAGTGTGTACATATGAGTGTGAGTGCCTGTGCATACACAAAAGTATTTGTGTATGTGTGTTCACCTGTATGTTCATGTTTGGTATATGTATGTCACGTACGTATGCCTGTGTATGTATGCACCATGTGCATGTGTGTTTGTATACATATTTTAACATGTAGGATCTGCATGTATGTGCACACATATGTGCAATGTGTATGTGTGTGCGTGCGTGTGTATTTGCCAATTATTAGGACTTGGTGTGAACATGCTCTGGTTTGTTTATTCTACATCAGTACTGTCAATATGAATTATTGGTTCTTTAAGTGTTTTTTCCACTGTGGGTCAGCGGTGTAGCTCTAGCGAGTTCTTTTTTGTATTGCTGACGTTCCAGAATACTAGAGCGTAGTCATGGCAAGAGAGGAGTTGCTGTGGTTACAGCTGGTGCTCACTGATGGTGAGATCAAATGCATCTGTTTAGTTTATTTTTAACTGCTGGTGCCTCTTGGTCGTGGCCTGAGCCAAATGCAATAAACTTCTTATTGCACATGCTTGAGATAATGTTCTGTTATTTAAGACCACCTAAGCTGTATAAAAATAGACTATAACCTGGATAGCAGTGAAAGATAAATGCCTCCATTCATGAAGCTCACTATAGCTCCCCATTTTTAAAGCTTGCCTTAACACTTACTTCTTTGACCGAGCTTTTGGTCATCTTTCCCTACTCCCTCCCCTTTCAGCTTCCCCCATCCCTTAACCTGGCTTGGGTCCTCGGCCACTTGTATAAAGTGCTTTGAGACATCCTTCCCATGTATTGTATACCTCATACACAATTGCCGCTGGTTTTTAACTTCATTTATAATAATAATAATTCTTGCATTTGAAATGTCCCCTTATCATATTGTCAAAACATCTCAAAGCTCTTCAGGGGCTTCGAGAAAACTCTGTTGAACACTAGTAGTCTTCTACAAAGCTTTCATCCGCTTTGTGCTGGAGTTTTGTAGCTCTCTTTGGTAGGCTGTGAAGTCACCAATTGCTATTTGGTCATTGGAACGGCTGCAGTGAATAGCACTGTCATGTGATGTGGTTGTACATATTGTGGGCACATTTCTGGAGACAATTGCCATGATGTGTTGTCGACTTTGACATGGTCTACATCCACTCTACATTATCCTCAGAGCACTCTCATTTACTCAGATGATGAAAGCATTTACCCAACATAGAACATTGCCATATCAATTAGTTAGGTCACTTAGACCATACTTTCAGGTTTTAAACAGATCATTGTCTTAAACTTTAAGATTGTGTGATTTTTGGAACAGTCTTCAATTCAGCCTTAAATTAAAACAGTTTTCTGCAGTTATGTGCTTCCAAGTTAAGTCTAAATTAAAAGCCTTGTTCTTGAATTTTAAGATAAGTACTTTCAAAAAACACTTTATAAATGCAAATGTGTATTGTAATGGTTTTAAGGCTAAGATTATGAGAGATTTAAGGTCTATGCTACGTTTACTGATCTCAACTGGGATGTAATCCAGTGATCACTCCTGGAAGGTTTCTCCCTGTTGACAAGATTAGGCACACCCACACCCCTCAGCACATAACCTGCCAAAACTCACTCTCTTGTGCTCACCAGCACAGTTTTTAAAAGTTTATTTTACAAAGTTTTAAAAAGAACAGCCAGAACCTCTGCTATCCTTTCATATGTATATCAGATTCAGGATTAAAAACATTAATGAATACATTATAACCAGAATATTACACTCACTGGGAATGATGCATTTCTCTTTATTATTAACTTCTGAGGAAAATCTCACAATGCAGTTATACTTGTAATGATTATGAATTATATATCTTTACTCTTTGTAAATAAATGTAGATAAAATTAATTTGTGTGGAGTATAAACACCGGCACAGACTGGTTGAGCTGTACATTCTTTGTAAATCGTATTTCCAAATGCTGCGTGCATGCAGGTGTTAGCAATATGTACACAAAACAAAACAAAAGTTTACAACACTAACCAACCACCAAGACATGTGGAACAAAAGAATCATTTAAATAAAGTGGAATATTTACAATAGTGTTGAAGTGGGAAAAATCTGAATGGAATATTTTGCTCAGTTTGAACATTTGACAGGAAACAAGCTGGGGAAAAAGAATAAACTCAGAGCAGAAATGAAAGCACAGCAAGAATACACATGTACAAGAACATAGCATGCATGCTATTTTATTTAAAATAATCTTGCACTGACAAAAGTTTATGGTCGGAAGTGCGTGTTGACACAAATGATTGAGGTCAGAGCTCTTTCAATCGAAAGGAAAATGACATATAAATAATGATCTGTGATGGACTTGTCATATAGTAGTTAAATAAAATACTCTAGTACCAGTTTCCTTTGAGGCTTGTTTCACTTTTCCGGCTTCTGTAAAGTACCTTTCCTTGATGAATATCTATGTGTTGATCCAGTGCCATGAGGCCTAGCCACATCCTTCATTCTGCTGAACAGAGAGAATCACTGCAGGAGCTAATATTCTAACAAAGACATAAAAACTTGTGATAGAGCATTAAATGGGGTTAGGAATATGTACACTTAATAAACACATGATGGAAAATTGCACTGATAACAATGGACATTGTAATACTGTTTTGTTTATGCATGAAAAGGTGAAAAATAAGTAATATAAAGAAATAATCTTTACATTTGGTATAGTGCCAAGTGCTACATGGGATCTACAGTAAAGTGACAGTTAAATAAAATGAATAAAATAGAAACCAAATACATAGAAGTGATAATTTTCACAACACACTTTTTTTTAACTCTATATGTTTTCCATACTCAATTAATTCTGTTCCAAAATAAAGATTTCTTCTTTAATGTAAAAGATTCTAAGCTTTTCCAGTTTGGCTAAAATGTTTGAAATAACAACACCAATTTGAAAATCCTGCATTTTCCCTTATATATTTGTACTTCGTGAACATTAAAACATTTTGGAATGAAAATGCAACATTTCCTAACAAATTCAATAAGAAATCAACAAATGTCTTATCAAACATCACTTTTTTTATCCCTTATAATTCTTGCAGATGAATTTAGACAGTTAAAACGTTTGTGTGCTATAAAGCTGTAAAAATAATTTAAGACTTAAAGTGACAACGCTGTTAAAATTGTTATCCATATAACCTGTTTGAAACTTCTAAACAAGGTAAAAACACTGTAGATTCTATTTGTTCTGATCACCAGAGTGTTTTGTCTCCATTTACATGCCTGTTCTAATAAATAAACCTTGACATTTCAGCTATGAAAACGTTTGGACAGACAAGTAGATTTTGGTCATTAGCAGAGCTTGGCTTCACTGATGGCATTCTCGTGACAGATTTTTAAAAATCTCACAGCAGGTTTTGGACTAAAGCACTGGAGTGAGTTCTGATTGACTCTAAACAGTGATCTAGGATCACATGTTATCAGCTAAACCTCTGCCGCTCTGTTTCCTTTCATTGTGTCTTCTGAGTGACAATTTCCTGCTAATGTCCTCACGCAGAGAACAAATGATGAAGATCTGGGTTGCCTTCTCTATTACAAATTGCAGTGTTAAGCAGAAATGCTGAATTAAGGAAAAAGATTTTTAAAAAGTAACACCTTTTATTCTAGAAACATTGTTACTTGCACTTTGGAAAATGTGCACAAATTGACTATTGTCATTAAATGTTATGGAGATTATATTGCTACCTTAAGAGGCTTAATAGTTAAAGAAATTAAGTAAATATCTTACCAATTTCGATTTAAAAATCCTTGCATTTAATGTAGTGACTTTTATTTTGTTCTCCCAAAGTCTCAAAGTAATTTACAGGATTTACTGTAAAATGTAGTGATTAGATTTTTTCACTGACGTGCCTGCCTATTTGCACAGAGCAATGTCTCACAAACAGCAATGAAGTGAATGACCAATTTTATCAGGGGGACTGTTGGTCCTGGACACTGGGAGAAACTCCCTTCTCTTTTCAAATTTGCACTTGAAACAGAAGAGAAAGCAAACAAAAAAATGATAGATAAAAATATCTAATGGGTACTGAAAACAAAATAACAAAATATAAAACTGGAAAACTGGAAAATATCCATACAATTATACCGGTGATATATTCTCTTGTAAAACATAAAGGGTTTAATATACCAAATTGTGAGTGTTAAGGCATGTTGGCTATACCAAAAATATCTCTGGTGTCCCTGGAAGCCACGGAACAGCCTGGTGTCAGTCTGGCTCACTTGGGAGACTCTTGCCTTTGAGTATGAAGGATATGAGTTCAAGCCCCATGTCGGGACATGGAGCTCACAGCTTAGGCTGATACTTCAGTAATTGCTAATAAAATGTTAAGCCAAGTCTGTTCAGGTGGATATCAAAGTTCCCATGGCACTATTTGAAAAGAGAATAAAGTTTATCTCAGTGTCCTAGCCAACAATTCCCAAGATAAAATTGGTTATTTACTTCTGTTTTGGGGATATTGTTATGCAATTTGGCTGCTGGATTTGCTTACAAAATACAGAGTCACTACACTTTTTAGTAAATGCTGTGAAATGCTTTGAGACTTCTTCCCGACGGGAAAGGTGCTAAATCAAATGCAAGGATTATAATTATTTTAACATCCATTTGAGTTGCAGATAAGATCTTGGTTTAAACATCTGTTCTATATGCCTTTACGTAATGAACAAGCAACAACACTGAAAACTTCAACAGTGTGGGGGTGATGCATTGCATCTAATGCTAATGGATAGAAAAGCAAATTCTGTTAAAGGTGATGTAATGTTTGGTGTGGCATAAAATGGACTTCAAACAAAACTGAAGCTATGTTTCACATGTTTATATGAACTTTAACGAGGACAAAGGAGAGAAAAGAAGTAATGGAGTTATTCTTTCCTTGTCAGTACAGTTTCTAACCTTTGGCAGAAAATGTGTCCCCCCCCGCCACCCCCCCGCCCGATGCCCCTGTATCTCATAAAGTCAGCAAGCATTACCATTCCACAAAGTCCACAGGACTATTATAAATGGATTAATAATCTGAAACATGTGTCAACAAGGAAACTGAAGTACAAAAAGTAAAGGTCCAGAGCATAACAAAGAAACCACAAAATGTCATAAACACACGTAATTGCACATAGCATACCATTGCAAAATATTAATCTAACACGAGGGACCAGAGATGGGCAAATGATTTATGGACTGTTGATGGAATGCACTTATGTGCCAAATAACTTGCAATGTTCCATGCTTCTTTATGATCTTAATATTTAAGGCACAATTTTTAATAAGGTGAAATCAACAAAGTGTTCAGATCAGGGTGCATTTCAGAGCAACACAAGCTACTTTGATTCATTGATTTTTGAGTTCACCTGCTCTAACAGTGTACATTTTGTGAGTTCCATTGTAGGTTGCTAGGGGGAGTAATATGCATTGGCAAAGCATCTCACAAGAGAAGAAATGGGGACAACACATTAGTTATTCTGCACTGAACTTAAAACTTCTTTCAATGAATTACAGAACAGCATGGAATTAAGCATGAGGAAGATATTCTTCTCCCTTGGCTGATGTAGCAGGAAGCAGTCATAAGAGTAAATGATTCTTATTTTTCATTATGAAATTTCAGCGCCTTGGGACGTCCTCCCGATGTGAAAGGCGCTATACAAATGTAATCTTGTGGTTTTTGTTGTTATCTGTACAGGAAACATCATGTCCAGGACTTATTTAACTGCCCCATGCCTATCGTTTACTATTATGTTCCTATGTATCCAGTTTCTTTTTAGAAATAGTTCATCAACACATTGAAAAGCTGCTTAAGCTTAGTAGTGGGGAGGTTTCTTCAAATCTCTCATGTTGTTTGAGGGTCACTCACTTTGTATTCAGGCCTTAATTCTATGCTTCTAGTCAATGTCCAATAACTTGCTTCTAATTGCATTCACGTTCCAGAACAGAGTCTTGTAAAGCTCCACTCGTATTGGATTAATGAAAAACTGGCTCCCAAAGGCTAGAGCTGCAACCAATAAGTGAGAGAAGATTAAAGTTTGCTAGGGTTCTATTATAGACATGGCCAGGCTGACTTGAGAACTTTAATGTATCTGGATAAAATAACCTGAATTGCATTGTAAGAGCTAACGGGTGAAGCTGTCCTATAAATCTATCATTAAGACATTCTGCATCCAACCTTTTTTTATTGCAGGATTAAAAAAATCTCAAAAATTGAAAAATCAGATCCAAATTCCCACATGGTCACTGGCATTCAGCTTACCTTCCATCTTAATAATGAAGTGGAGAATGCATGAATACATTGGGAAGTACACCCTGAGTTTATGCTTGGACAGGAACATACATTTCAACTGTGGTATACTTATAAAAGAGTCACAGCAGAAATCTTTCTTCTGCTGGCTTCCAGTGAACAGTGAGTTCTTTGACATAAAATAACACATTGCCTTTTCCCTCCCGGATTTTGCTGAAATCACTTGTGCTTCTGAATGTGTGTCAACATAACAGTCTTTGTTATTTCTCTGTTGAGTCAGTATGTGAATTTTAGTTTCACAAGCCTTTGTTATTGCTGGAAGTGCTGCAGAAGCAGTTTTTATCACCTTCTTTTCACTTTTGTTTTGATTTTGAATTATCATTAAAGTTTTGAAATCTCTTAAAACCAATGAAGTACTACTGTGTCTGATGACGGTGACAGATCACTATGGATCATGTCTGCTAACCCTCAACGGGTTTCGTACCTGTTATGCTTATATTTGAACCAGTTTCTGGTGAGCACAGCAAAGAAAAAAACAATTATTTGCTGAAAGTTTTTTTAAAATACTGACTATACATACTCTTAATGGTTTTCATAGAGATAGATGAAAGTTGGAAAAAGCCTTGATGGACCTCACAAGAAGCTTTGTTGTATTACCACAAAACAGTCTGGAGCTCAACAATGGCAACTTAGTTCTTGATTTGCAACAGAACCTATTAAACTCCAAAGACCAAGACAATCCTACATAGTGGTGAATTCCTGCAGAAAGGGGTGTTGAATGTTTGCAAGGATTATTAGTGAAGGCTAATGGTCTAATAAAACACCTTGAGGTGATAAGTAAATAATGCTTTCTGTTCACATTGACTAATGATGACCTATCTAACACTAGTAAGGAAAGCTCACTAGAAAACAGTGACTTCCATTTATATAGTTCTCTTCATGCAGGATAGTGTTTTGGAGCACTTGGAAAAAAGCCTGATGAAGACAATTGTTAGAATCAGGAAGAAAGAAAATATCCTGAGAAAGAGAATTGTGTAATAGTAAAATAATGCAATTACAAGCAAGTCCTCCCTATTGATCCTATTTTCAATGGGAAGATTTTTCTTTAAATAATTAGAAGTGCATAATTCTCAGCTATATTGATTAAGAGGTTGAAGGAAAAGATTTCCAAATGGATTTAGACTGGTTATACAGCTGGGCAGACACATGGGAAAATAAATTCCGAACTTAG